ATTGTTGATGGGAATATAGTCTGATACAACCACTGGAGATATCAGTGTGGAGAGTTTTCAGAAAAGTAGTACTAGAGGTCCCATTTGACCCAGTATTCCCCTTCTGGATATTCGAAAACATCATACCACAGCAATATATGTGCACCTATGCTCTTAGCAGCACAATTTGTCATAGCTAAATCTTGGAGCTCAAATGCTCATCAGCTGAGGAATGGATAAAAAAGATGCAGTATTTTTACACAATGGAGTATTACTCAGCTATAAAGAAAGATAAACTGAAGGGTTTTACAGCTAAATGAGTGCAACTTGAGACCATGCACAAAAGCAAAATAAAATAAGACCTACAAGTGTCAACACTGTATTGTCTTTCTAGTGTAAGAACCTGAAAGAGTAAATAAGAGCTAAAAGGTTTAATAAATATTGTGAAAGAAAGAAACTGTCCAAAAGGAAAGAATAATTGGGGTGGGGGAAAGGAGAAAAGAAAGAACTAAACACACACACACACACGATAGCTAAGATAATTATTCTACTAATTTCTATTAGTTCATTAAAAGAAACAGTTTATGTTTATATTGACTAATCTTACATACCTATATCTGCTAATCTGAGCAAATATTTTGGAGATAACAATATATGATATAATAACTATTATTAATCTATCATTGTTTTGAAATTCTGTCTCATTTTTATTTTTTGTTAGCTTTAAAATGAAAAAAGCTCATAAAAGTTTTTATTATTAGCCTTTATTTTGATTACAGTGTAAATATTCATTTTTCTTAATTTGGTAATAATCAAAAATATTATTGATAATCAAAAATATAAATGTTAAAAAAAAATATGGCAATTGTTCTGCCTGAGCCTTCTGAGTGCTGGGACCACGCTGGTTTCCATGAGCCCTCTCAATCTGGAAACCTATGTCCTTGAACTTGGCGATATACTCTTGGATTACTCCTACTTTTTTTTTTTTTTTTGCAGATCCGGGGATTGAACTCAGACCCTTGTGCTTGCCAGGGAATCACTTATTCTACTAAGCCATCTCCCCAGCCCCTACTCCTACTTTTATTTATTCTTCATTTGCCTTATCTCTGCTCCTATCATTCCAACACAGAATTTTCAAATTGGTCCTCTAAGTTTTTTCTCTCCTACTTTCCATTTTGGTTATCTGCTTTTTGTAAGTGTTTGACTTTATCTTCCAATACTTTCACAAAGTAATTTCTGATATTCTAAACTCTAAGAGTTCTTTGGACATTATTATGTTGCTCAGCTTTATCATCTCTTTGATACCTTGGAATGCTCTTGGGAGGTTGGCCTGGGCACTGGTAGAACAGCAATTGCTTTGGCTAGGTGGGTTATAAAGACAAGACTTTGGGTACTATATGTGGTCCCTTTCTCTTGGGCAGTGTTCCCTGCTCTGGGGCAGTCTAGCTGTCATAAACTGCTCATGTTTGCTCAACCACACCCTTCCACCATGATGGTGTTGCCTTGGAGCCTGCTGACCATGGACTGAATTCCCTGAAACTGTCAGCCAAAATACACCTCTCCTCCTCTAAGTGCTGAGCACTGCAGCAGTGGAAAAGCTGATCAACACACTGGCCTTATGTCCCTGATGATACAGATGGTGGTCCCTCCCTCTTAGGCTGCATTATGCCATTGACAGCAAGCCTGTTAGAACTTTCAATGAGACAAAGAGCCCGATGCAGCATACATGCTGAATCTGTGCCACCACTACTTTATGCTACTTGTTTTGACATTTTATCACGTTAAAGGATTTTTTTCAGACTTTTCACAATTGTTACTTTCCTGTTTAAGGGTAGGGGATGAGAATGCTGCTTGAGGCACACACATGGCCCCGAGTGAAGTGTGCTCAACAGCGATCAGGCCAGGGACTGCTTAGTAATTCCTCTACAAGGGTATTTAACAGCCTTTCCTCCGGGGGTCACATTCCCCAGATAAGATCTTTCTAATTTTCTTCTTTGGGGAGTAAAGTCTCTCAAATGTCTGAATTTTTAGGAAATATATACATATTCTGTCTTCTTCCCCCATTTTCCATTCAGAATCCCTGAGCTCAAGAGTTTCCAGCCTCTTTCAATCAAGAGACCACTGTATTTTTATTCTCCCCCAAGAAAAAATTTACTGGATAGGGAAGAGGCCCTCACTTGCAGAGTGAAGCACTTTAGCAGCTTCCTAAAATACTTACAGCCAATTCTACTTATTTTAAAATCCCTTGACACCACTGAGGTAACAGTGGCTGCTAATTTCTGAGCGTTTCAAGGGTTCTCTGGTATAAACTGTCTTGGATCTTAATTCACTAGCATGGTATAAAACTGCTAACTCAAGTCATCACAGGTACCGTCCAGCACCCAAAATGATCATCTCAGACAATGGGGATTTATACTTAAACCAAGATCTCTTAATAGTATTAGTGGGGTAAAAAAACATATTAGTGGGGCTTTGGCAACGAACCAAACTAACTACTTTTCTGGCATCTCTATTTTTTATTTTTAATCACCTAAATGAATTAAGTCCACCTGAAACCACTTCTTCAAGCTAATAGTTTAGTGACTCGGGGAAAACTGTTCAAACATAAAATGGGTTAAAAAACGTCATAACTTGGAACACTTAAATATTATGAAAAATCGGAAAACGACACACGGCCATCCTTATGCACTATATTTAAGGTCTATGCTACCTTCTTATAGAAAGACACCAGTTCACTGTTAATGAGTCAAGCTGTTTTTCATCAAAAACAATGAAGAAAGGCTATTCATTCCTTGTTGTCACTTCTTTACAAACCAACTCCCAAGTTATAGATACACACAGTGCAGAGGGATGCTTCTCCATGACAAGTGATCACCAATCACTAAACAAAATGCTGTAAGCGGCTCCAGCCACCTTGTGTCCTCACCAAAACAATGACGGCTTTCTGCCGCTAGGGATGTGCTGTGCATGTGCAAATGCAACCGTACGTTAATTTTTAACATGGTTGAGCTCGCCTTCCCAGCATCTGGTTTATGTAAATAGCGAGGTAGCAGGCCACAGCATTCAGACGACACAGGAAATTAATATTGCTGAGAAGTCAGGAAATTGGATGCTACTTTAGAAGGTGAGATATTGGGGTTCTAATGAAAAACACTGTGATAACACAGTACTATCACTTCTAAAGTGTTTGGTAAATATGAAGCTTTCTTCTGCCACCTTCAGAGGCTTACAGTGCCAGGCGGGTGCCTGCAGGGTCTCCACAGCTCAAGGATTATACCATCTTTCTTTCCAGGCTCTGTGACCTCAGGTGTGATATTCAGGCCTGTACGTCCTCTGTTCTTGTACAAACCTATAATCTCTATGGCTTTTTTACCCTGACTTCCCAATGCTGGCACAGAATCAAGAGCATATAAATCAAAAACAACTGTCCACTTTGAATTTAAATAGTAATTAAACATTTTTTGGCCTGGTGCCAGAGTTAATTTACTTTGAACCCTCATCAACTGCATGAAAGGGGCCGGGAGATGGCTTAATGGAATAAGTGCTTCCCTGGCAAGCACAAGGGCCTGAGTTCAATCCCCAGTTCAAAAAAAAAAAAAAAAAAAAAAAATCTGCATGAAAAATATTGCCCCAAGTATCAATTTTATCAAAAAATATAATCAAAAGTATATTTTGATTATAATGTAAACGTATGTTCAAAAATTTCATACTGTCAGCTAATGTAAAACTGAAGTTTTTTGCAAAAGTTTTAACCTTTAAGCTTAAAAATTTAATGAAGAAACTTGTTAGATGAGGGGAGAGGCACAGAATCACAATATTGTAGCACCATGTATGATCAAGATCTCATCTATAAGGTAAATTAATTTCTGCAACATATTTATTTGCCATTTCATTCAGGTCTACAGTGAGCTTCACTGTACACCAGAAACTTTATTTTACCCTTATATAGCTATTTTAACAAAGAAAATTGGCAATTAAAATGAATAAAGTAGAAAGGACAGGGCTTTCACAGTCTATTCAGAATTATTATACTATGATTTCTGCACTGGATTTCTGTGCGTTCAGTATGCTTCGTCCGAGTCCTAGCTTCATCACTCACCTTGACAGGTGGACGCCAAACAACACATTTAATCGGGGGTCAGTAGCCTTATTTCAAATGTGCTGGGTACAAAATAAAATAAAAAAAATGTTTGAAAAAGAAAATATACCAGATACCACTGCTGTGGGTTATCAGCTCAATTACATAAGCTCCTGCAGTTAGATGTGGGCTGGCGCCCAGCTCCATTTCCTTTCATTCCATTTTTTTCCCCTGAACCTCATCCTGTCCTCACCTCCACCGGAAATACCCTCCTTCGTTTTTCTTCAGATTTGTTTTTAAGCACATATCTATCAGAACAGAAAATAGAATGGGTTTCTATGTTCACTCTCAGCCTTTTCCTCCTGTGGGGCGACAGCAGGAAGAGAGGCCCACCCGAAAGAGTGGATGAGCGCGCGGACTAGGACCCCCTCGTGCCGGGCTGCCAGAGCCTACAGGTGGGAACCGCTCACAGCAGCGTGGAAGGAAGTCGCAGCTCTTAAAAGCACAGGGCGAGACCTGCACTCTTCGCGAGCCGTGCTTCTTTTAAAGTCTGCTCGCTGCAAAGCGCCTGAAATGCCATCCAGGTGCTGGGAAACCCGGGAATCATTGGCCCCTAGTGTCTGTAGTGTCACCACCGTCACACACACACACACACACACACACACACACACACACGAAACTGCCTGGGGATGGTGCCAGCTTTGCATCCCACCAGAGAGCCGCTACACAGCTCCAGGGCTGTCTCTCGGCACAAATGGCGGCGGCGGCGGTGGCTTCGGCCCGGCCAGAGTGGGCTTTTGCTCGGGGCAGGGTGAGGCAGGAGCGCTGTTTCCGTGATGCGCCACAAGAACCCCGCCGCAGGCACACAATCTGCAGCGCGCAACCCGGACCGTCGCTCCCCGCCCCCTCCCCCGGCGACAGCGCGCCCCCTGGGGTCCCTTACCGTCCTGCAGGACCAGGGTAGGCTGCACCGCCTGCACGCGGAACTGTCTGGCCCTCCAGCCCGGGCTGGGTGCCCGCACCACCTCACTGTCCGACAGCCAGGTCACCGTCTCAAAGTTGTCCCCCCGAGCCAGGGCTTCGGCCTCGGCGTGGTGCACGGCCACCTGATCGAACTGGTAGAGCCCTCCCGAGTGGTCGAAATGCACGTGGGTGGCCACTGCCAACAGCGGCCGGCGCGGCGCGTCCTCCTTGGCCCCGCGGTCCTGCAACAGGCCGGAGGAGTACAGGTATTCGGGGAGGCTGCGCAGACCCAGGCCCGTATCGATCACCAGGTCCTGTTCGGACCCGCGGACCAGCCAGATGTTGGCGCGGTTGCCCGACTCGTAGAATCGTTCCTGGATCCAGAAGATGCCATCGCCCAGGGACTTGTGGGCGTACCACTCGAGAGCAGACATGCTGGACAGGGGTGCGGCCGGTGCGCGTGCCTCCCACCGGCGGTGCAGACCCGGGCCGCTGCAGCGCGGTGCGACTCTCGCTCGGAGCCCGCAGCCTAGGGGGAGGTGCAGAGCGAGGGGCGGTGCTTAGAGGGCGGGGCCAGGGAGGAGCGCGCGGGCAGCGCAGCTCCGAGCATGCGTCGTGCTCGCTCCTGCCAGGGCCGCAGAGTGCCGAGGCTGCGTCATGGCGCCGGCGAGCTTTAGCGCGGCGGTCACTGCAGCAGATTGGAAACCCAGGAGGCTGCAGTTTCCCCACCTAGGGGTCCGTCTGTCGGGGTCGAAGCCTGCGTGGGAAGCGCTGGGCCCGCCCCAAGTGACTGGCAACGATGCACAGTACCAGCCAGTGCAGAACTCTGGCCCGGCGCGTCAGCCGAGGACTACGGCGTCTGTCAAGGGCTAAAAAGAACGGGTCAGGGGGCGGGGCCTAGCGGAGGGGGCGGGGCCTAGCGGTTGGGAGGGGCGAGCGCGCTGCCCGGCCGCGTGCAGGGCTGTGCGCGTGTCTCCCGGCTGCAGCTCGCTACCTGAGCCGCGCTGCGCTCACCCCTGGCTGCTTGGTTGGCGCTTGAGTTACACGGCTTTTGCCCAAGTCTCGAGACTTAGTGAGCAGGTAACAGGAAGCGTTTCAGGACCTGGGAGGGGATGGTGAGGGTAGAGAGGCGAGCTTGAGGGGCGTGTGGACAGGAATGGGAGAGAGGGGTGCAAGTACTCTTAGCGTGACGGTCGGCTTCGTAAAGCCGTTCCCGCATCTTAGGTCGTCTGCCCTCCTGGGAGCCCTGGGTTAGAAGGCGTCGAGGCGCTAGCTGTGTGGGAGACTTTCCGGGAGCCCTGGGCTTTGCGGTCGCTCCAGGCGTTGCCTTGCCGCAGGTTGCAGCCGGGAACACACCGGTAGTCTGTTTTTGAGGACTGGCGCTTTACCTGAATCCCAGAGAGTCTTTTCAAAAACATGAAAGCATCTCGTTACCTTTAGGGGAGTTCTTTGCTCTGGGAGCGAAGTAAAAAAGTAAGTGGGAAAGATGCTAGCTAGCTCCCCGAGAGGAAAGGAGCCGCAGATATTAACTGGGTGTGGCCTGCGCCGCCCCATTAATCGCCCCACCGAGAGCAGCCAAGTCCCATCCCTTCTGCTTCTTCCTAGCAATTGGTGCGTCTGTTTAGGCATCTCTGAAGCCTAAATAATTCCCTTAAGAACTTGACTGATCTTCCTTAGCCAGGAGAAATTATAGAGACCCGTGAGACAACATTATAAAAGATAATTGAGCAGACCTTTAGTGTGGTGACTAGTAATAACCCTTCTTGGCGAGGAAGGAAGGTCATCCTCTTCCCTCCTAAAGGTTGGGGGGATGGTGCCTGTGGGTTTTGCTACTCTAGGTAGGAATTGTGCAGTTACTCACTGGAGGGCTCCCCTTAAGCGCGAGTTCCTGCGGTAGGTGATGTGTGAAGAACAGAATCGTGTGAAAGAAAACAAGTAATGATTTTCTGGAGTCTCAAGAATTTGAAGAAATTTAAACCGGGCATGATGCTGAAATCCTGAAATCCCAGCGCTCAGGAGATTGAGGCAGGAGGATCCTAGCCAGTTTGAGGCCAGCCTGGGCTACAGACGAGCTTGGTGCCAGTTTGAGCTACTGAGCGAGATCCTGCCTCAACCAAAAATAAAGAACATTAAGGGACATTAATACCTGTAGTTAAGGTCATATGGATGTGATCCAAGAGGAGGTAGATGAGGTGGTGTAAGGGTCTAGATGGGAGGAATTTTGGAGGAGTGGCGTTTTGCCCGTTGTACCAGATCAACATGAGGACATCTCAGCAGAAACGCGGTGCTCTCTTTAGTTTGGGTATTTTCCCTCAAGGCAGAAGGGAAGCACTGGAGGTGAAATGGAGTGCTATCTTTCCAAGCTGTGAGCTCAGCAATAATTTTCATAGTGGATTTTTGCCAAACTCTGCTTAGTGGTAGGGCATCTTAAGATGACTGTGTCTCCCAGGGGCCGTCACGCTTACCAGCCCCTCTGCCCTCTGTCAGCTTCCCCCGGGTGTGCTCTTCTGCCTCTCTGCCTGGCACTGCCCCTCTCCTCTCTCTTGTCACATTTCTGCACCAGTATTGCTGAGTGAGACAGGCCTTAATGCTGTTTTCCGCAGTAGCCCTGCTGTTTCCTGCTTTACCCCTCTTCACATCTCCCGCCGTTCCCTGATGCCACAAAATGTGTTTGGCCCATTTCCCATCCTGGCCCACGAGCTCCTGGACGACAGCGGTTCTGTGTGCATGCCTCTGCCATCTTCCCAGGCCCTGGAAGGGCGGGGACATGGAAAGCGCTTGATAAAGATGGTCCAAGACTCCTGGACACAGACAGGAACTGGCAGTTACAGCATGACAGTAGAAAGACTGTAAAAAGCACAGAGAAGGGAGGGGTAGGTGGAGGAAGGGGCATGGAGAAGTCCTTCCGTGGCATCTTACGAGATGCCAGGGCTTTTTCCGGTCAACAAGGCAGGAATGAGATTCGGGGAGGAGCTCGGGTAGCAAGTGGGGTGCCTGGAGTAAGAGGTGCGAAGCAGGACTGCAGAGCCCTGTTGATGAGGAAAAGGCACCTGCAGCGTATTCTAGGATGACTGGGGAGGGGATCCAGGGAAGAATCTGCTCTGGCGGTCAGAGAGCTGGAGGAAGGAGAACAGAGAGCTCAAAGCTGCTCTACCCTTGCTTGAATGAGGGGCTCAGAGACAGAGCCAGGGCGGAAATGACTGTCAGCCTCTTGACAGGACAGTGTAAAGGTCACTCATAGAAAAACTGGCCTGGCATTCCTCCGCACCTCCTGGAGGTCTGCGCCGGTGGACTTTAGTTCCTGCAGTTCCTTGTCAGGCTGGTAGTGCGGGGGCTGTGCAAGAGATGGAGCAGGACAGGTAAATGCCTGTGGAATCGCACTACATTTCAGGGCTGGGAGGAATTTCAGAAATTAGTTCCATCTCGGCGCAAGGTTGTTTTTGTGTTTGGTCTTGTATTTCTGCTCTTAGATGCTTGAGTTGTACTGGTTTTCCAGTCTCTCCGAGTCCACATAGGAGTTTTCCTGACATGGAAGGGCAGTGCTGCCGATTTCACCTTTTAAAATGTAGTGTACCGTGCAGTGAGGAATTGATTTCCCGGATTAAAGCCGTTTTTGGGATTCCCAAGGTCTTCCTTCCCCTACCAACCTGTGCCCTAGGCAGCAGAGTCCAGAGGAAGAGGTAATGGGGAGGTTCCCCAGACCCTAAGCTCTTCCTGCCTTTGATGGGATTTAATTGTGTCCTTAGATTATCGGCTAAACTCTCAAATCCTAATTTTCCTCGTCTGTACAATGGTGCGGTAACATCCTGGTTCTTAGTTTAAACATGCTCAATTTTCTGGGGTCTTTGAGAAGTTGAGAGGCCCACATCCTGCCTCGTGATTCTGGCTTTACTGTTCTGGGCTGAAACCTGTGGGTCAGTGTTTTTGACTTTTGATTTTTTGACTTTGTACTTAAGGAAAATTATTTTTAAAAACTTTGAAAGTAGATTAACTGGCTTTTACCTTTTTTTTTTTTTTTGTATTTTAGGACAGGGTCTACAGGGTGTTCAGGGTTTCACTACTAGAGCAGAATCATAGTGATCCACCTGTTTACAGCCTCCCAAGAGCTGGGATTATAGGCCTGCGCCACCACAGCCAGTCTCAATTGCTGTCTCAGCATGCCCTGGGGGCGGGGCCAGCACGGCTGTCCTGGCTTCAAACCCTGGCTGCCGCCACTGCCTAAGCAGGCGCTTTAGTCCACTGAGCTATTTGGTTGGCCCCTAAATTTTACTTCTGTGGATAGATTTGCTAGTGAAATTGTACATACTGTATCCTTTCACTTGGGCTGCTGAGGCAGGAGGGTTACCACAAGTTTATGGCCAGCCTCGCTACATATTTCAAGAACAGCCTGAACTAGGTAGAGAGACACTGACTCAAAAACAAAAAATATATATGTGGCCCACGAAAAGGAATGCGTACGGTTCACTGTGGAGCACTCGCTGCTGTAAACTCTGCTCCACCGCGAGAGCCATGACGTCTCCGCTGCTAAGAGCAGCGAACAACAGAAGTGCCTTCGGAAAGTGCTGTTTCCTACAGAGTTAATCTTCTGGGGTGCAGCAGTGCTTAGCACCTCAGTTTTTAAAAATCCACTGAAGAGGAGGATCCTTCTGAGAGCAAGGTGGGCACAGTGGCTGGCGCTGGGCATGAAGGGCAGACAGGAGGGGAGCTGCAGCCATCTTCCCATGGCAGAGCCCTGCGAGTTTGGATGGGTTCTGGGATTGAATTCCAGAACCAAGAGGATGAGGAGTAGCAACATGGAAACTGCCCTTTAAAGAGAGCTACCATGAAAGTTTGCAGTTAATCAGTGCCAGGTGGGGTGGGCTGAGCTGGATTTTGGTAGAGGTCGCACGCAGGCGCAGAAGGGGCATTCCCAGGAGAATGGCTCTCAGTGACGCATCCAGGCAAGATGGCCTCTGCCGCAGTGGCCGGAATGCTTCTTACTGGTTGAGCAGGAAACTGACAGGCTCTTTGGAGAAGATGTGGATGATGAGCTAGAGAAAGTCGGTGGAAACCCTTTATTTGGGAAGTGTGGCAGCAGAGTGACAGGAGGACTAGGCGGTGGGTGAATTCATCCACAGGGTTTCCTAGAAGGTGCTTCAGCAGCCCCGAGGAGCCATGTCTTCCCTGCTGCAGTTTCTGGGGTGCCTCTCACTCCTGGGAGGGAAGACGGTGAATTAACCACCTGTTGTAGTACCAGAGCACTGACTCAGGCTAAGCCATTAGACGAGGAGGGTCAGGGGCCAGCAGGAGTGTCTCAAGACGCCCTGCGGTTTTTCTGCCTGTGGTTGTGTATTTACATACTCAGATATGGCCCGATAACCAGGAAAGTTAGTCTAGGCAGAGATTGCTATTTCTTATCAGCTATTCCATGGAACAATGCTAGCTGATAAATACCCTCTCTTTTTAGGGCCAGTTTTCTAAACTGAACCAGGCTAATCCCAGCACCTTGGGAGGATGAGACACATAAATTCAATCCCAGCCTGGGCCATTTAGCAATTCAGCAGGACCTTGTCTCTAGAACTAGGAGATGGGCTGGGGATGTAGCTCAGTGCACAGAGCATTTCCTGGTGTAATGGTTTAAAGATTCCTTCTGGTGTGGAAGAGTAGAGGACATGAGGGTCCCCTGGGACCCTGTGTTATCAGATCTTAATCCCCGTGATGAGGCAGATTTGGTGAATTTTACAGTTATTCCCAATTAATGGAAAATCCGGGGTTGTACTGCAGCCCAGGGTTTTGCCCGTGCCTGCTGGTGCCTGCACCTGTTTCTAGAGAGAAGGCGGAGCCCTTTTGCTCAGGGGTTTCACCCTTGAAAAACCTGCTTTCTATAGGCTCAGCATTTGCTTCAGTGACTCAGCAGTTGAAACAAGGCCATTTGGATACTTCTCTTTTAATGTGGGCAGATGGAATAATCTTAGTTATTAAAGTGAGTTTCCCAAGCAGGGCATCGTGGTGCACACCTATAATCCTGGCACTTGGAAGGCTGAGGCATGAGGATCATTGTGAGTTTGAGGACAACCTGTTCTGCATAGTGAGTTTAAGACCAGCCTGAATTGAACAGTGAGACCCTATCTCAAAAAGACCAAAAAAAGTTTATCACGTGAACTTTGTTTCAAGGTAACTAAGCAGTATGGGAAGAAAATTAATCTGTTATAATCAGTTATCAGTAAAACAAAAAGAATGATAAAAGGTGTATATTATTTCGCAACCTATATGCAGTAGTAGACCAGGGGCTGCGTTAGCAGCAGTGAGCCGGGGCTGCTAGAGTCATTAGGAGAAAACCAGTGGGCACTTATGAGTGTGATCAGAATCATGGTGAATGCTTAAATTTACAAAACATTCACTACAGTAAAAGACCGTAATCATTATTAATGCCATTAATTCCCTCAAAACACTCCCCTCACCTCAAACACTTAACCGTTGTCCTTGCCACTTTCCAGAAGCGGTTCTATAAGTCCACGTTTATGAATGTCTTTAGTTGTAGCTGATGTCCTGAATTGATTGACAACATTTCCATTTAGTGGTCAGTTTGGATTTGGGGAAGAGCTAGACGTTCCAGAGCACCAGATCTGGTGAAAAAGGTGCGTGAGGAACAGCTGCACTTTCGTGAGCCTGCCTTTCTGCTGGGTGGCACGTGGCAGCACGAGCCTTTCTCTGTACTTCTTGTCTCACGTCCAGGACTGCTTGGTGTGATGGATAGGTGCACTCAGTGAGGGTGGATTTTTTTTTTTTTTTTAATGTATTTGATATAGGTTCTCACTATGCAGCTTGGACTTGTAGTGCTCTCCTGTGTTCAGCCTCCCCAGCACGGAGATTACAGGTGTGTGCCACCGTGCCTGGTCTCGGTGGCCGGCTCAGCGTGCCCAGGGGCAGGGTTGGTGTGGCATGTGGTGCAGGGATTGAACCCCGGTCCCTGAAGGCTCTTAGTCCACTGAGCTATCTCATTGGCCCAAGGGGGTGGATTTTGAAGAGGACTGAAGGCAACGTGCTGCTTACTGTTACCCTTTTTAAAGACATAAACATTTATTGTATATTTTGATCACATCCTGTGTACTAAAACACCAGTTGGCCTGGTCACTGGCCAGCCCGACCACCTTGAGAGAGACGTCATGAGCTTCCTGATGTGATGCACTGGAAATAAGCATGTATCTCTCTTAAGTATACATGCCCCCCCCCAAAAAAAAAAAATCAAACCTAAATCAGAAAGAGCCTGTAGCCCACATGTTTCTTGGAAATGCAGTGAACAGAGAAATATGTTAAAGCACAGCTCCAGTGTGTGGAATGTGGGAAAGTGTTGCTACTCAAGTATAGCCTGCGAACCAGTGTCGATGTCTCTAGGAAGAGCTTGGTCGAATGCAGGTTCCCAGGCCCACCCAAGCAAGGCCCGCTGGATCCGAACCTGCTTTTAACAAGGCTTCTGAGTCATTTGCATGTAGCTTCTTCAACTTTGAGAAGCATTGCACAGGACAGTGGCCTAGGGTCTTCACAAATAAGCAGCAAGGAGAAAAGGAAGGGAATTATTACACTGTACAAGAAACTTTTAAAATGTCAATTTAATGTAATGTGTTGACTTTTTTTGTATCTTCAACAAGCCATAGAAACATTTATGTGAAGTTTGAATTATGATTGTGCATAGGATGATAATGAGTTATTGTAAAACTTAGATGTGACGTTGTGACTTTTTGAAAGTCTCTAACCTTCGGGAAGATATGTAACGGGTGTGGGATAGTTTGCGTCCTGCGAGAGGGAGAGTGTATGTAAAATTAGTCCTGGATTGATAAGTACTGAAGCTGCAAGGTGGACACATGTGAGTTTATGACACCGCTTTCGCTGGCTGCATATATGTAAGTAGTGTGATAAAAGTGAATGTACATAAAAAGCCATAGAGTGGCACTTCACAGTGACAGCAGCAGAGATACAGAGTTATCCTTTAATGCTCAAGCAATTGTGAGGGCAAACTGGAGTGTAGAGGCACGTAAGCAGGAGTTGCCAGAATGTACAATGTGCAATTGTGTCTGGAACTGTTCCCAGCATCACAGCCATTATTTCAAATCAAATGTCATCCAGCTTGAATAATCTGCAGGAAAGAGGAAACAATAATGTGTCATCACAGAAAGGCACTGAATATGGGATTTGGCTTCTGTGTAAGTGGAGCCTTAGTGTGTGAGGATGTTACAGTTGCCAGTCAGCAGCCCTCTCAGGTGAGATGCCCTGGTAATGGGGGCCCTCGCCCGACAAGTGGGTAGCACATCCTGAGTGCTGCGTAGGCCTGCAGCAGTTAGCATCCTTTCACCTTCAGGACAGATTGCTTGAGCTCACCTGAGCAAAGTATGTCTAATTTCAGACTTCAGAGATGGATGTACTTTGAGGAGTACATCCCCAGGTGATTCCACGGGAAGAAGCGCTGAGTACAGGGGAGAACTATTCTGGTGGAAGTCGTGGCCACTGAGCAATAGCTGAGTTAAAATACACCTGTACAATCAGGTCCTTCAGTGCAGCTGCCAGCAGCGCTCTGAGAAGCCCTGCTGTGCAGCTGCCAGTGATTCTAATGGCAGCCAGCGTTGGGACCAAGCGCTTGCTTCGGCTGATAGCCCAGTGGTAAGTTAACATTCTTTAGGCTTTCGGACCAGTGTAGTCCACTTGTAGGAAGTGGAAAAACACAAAGTAGACCCTCATTGGTCCTGGGAAGAGTCACTTTATCGCTATTGTCTGGAACTGCCTGGGCCATCATGGCCTTTTTGCCCCAGCTGGACACCCCGGTGAAGGACATAGGAGCTGTGTGAAGCACCAGGGTTCATGTGCTTCAGAACTAGGCAAGGGGTGGGAGAGAAATGAGAGCGGGCCGAGCAGGTAGAAGCCAGAGCTGCTCCTTCCTCGCCTTCAGTGTCCGGGGCTCGGTAGAACCACTGGACCCATGCCCGGGGTAAATGATGCTTAGCTTTAATAGTAGGAAGAGGCATGCGATGTGTGCATTTCAGCTGTCACCTCAGCTGCCTGCAGTTCCATTACAGAGCCTAGAGAGGGGTCCCTGTCAGTGCATGGCAGGCTCAGCCTCGCTCTTGTGCAGTTGCGTTGAGGAGGGCTCAGAAGTCGAGTGTGAAACTTAAATATGTGGTATCCCTACGGTCCCCCAAATCGAAGAGTAACTGTGGTCTTTAAAATTATTGTTCTCTTAGTACATTTTTGCAGTCCATAATGATTCATCATGGGAAGTTGGCATATGGCACATAAGATGCCTTAATTTTAGCTAGGGAGATAGCCTGGCAAGTACAAGGTCCCAAGTTCGATTCCCAGTATCAAAAAAAAAAAAAGATATCTTAATTTTTGTTTCATTCCACTTCCCTCATCTTTTGGTCCTCTTTCCATTTGCAAAAGATCCATCTCTCTGTTGCCCGGTATCTTTTATTTCAGTCTTCATTTGGATTTCTCACGTAAGAGAAATCACGTGGTATGTCCCCAGCTGCAAGGTACTGCGGGGTTTGAGGGGTTCAGCTGTCAGTCATCACGTTTGTTTCTTTGAATGTTTTGCTTTCCAAGTGTATTTTAAATTGGCCATGCTTGTAAGAGGTAGTTTATATTTTGCTTCAAAACATTGGCTTCCTTTTTCAGAGCCAGTAAAGCTTAACCTTCTGTCGTGTCTTTCAGCAGTTGCCGGCTCTTGTGGTGTAACTAGTTTAATGGCTGGGAATAAAGGAAGAGGACGTGCTGCCTATACCTTTAACATTGAGGCCGTTGGGTTCAGCAAAGGTGAAAAGTTACCTGATGGCGTGTTGAAGCCACCCCCACTGTTTCCTGTAAGTACGTTGGCAGCCAGATTCTCAGAGTGTGTGTTTGTGCTACAGATTAAAATTCTGCTTAAGCTTTGAATGTATATTGCTGTTGTAGTTTGCCTAAGTATAAAACCATAAGAGAGATTCTCTCATTTACCCTTGATGTAAATAATCCCAGAGTTCTTTGAATGTTTTCTAATTTTTAAAATACAGGAAACCAGGCTGGTAAAATGGCTCAGTGGTCTAAAGCACCTACTCAGAACAAGCTTAGCCAAGCACAGGGACCGCTGCCACCCTGGTATCTAGCGATTTTCTTTGCACCCTCTGTGTGTGAACTGTGGCTTGTTCCTTAGCATGTTACCTGACCATTTTTCCCACAAAAAAAAAAAAAAAAAAAAAAAATTTAGCAGTTTTTCCATTGTATCAATCATGTTGAGTTTTGTTAGCGTCTCAGAATGTGAATATGCCTGCCACATTTGATACTGCTTTTAAATTTGGCAGATGTTGGGGCCGGGGAGATGGCTCAGTGGAATAAGTGCTTCCCTGGCAAGCACAAGGGTCTGAGTTCAATCCCCGGTTCCGCCAAAAAAAAAAAATAAATAAATAAATAAATTTGGCAGATGTGGCGCAGACCTAACGGGCGTGTCTCCTGTTTTTGCTTTACATTTAGTTTGAAAGGTAAGCTTGCCTTTCCAGGTGTGCCTGTGCTGTGATATAAACAAAAAAGAGCCAAGATCCCCTCTCCTGAGCCCTGCTGAGGACTGCTTGGTAGAGAGGGCCTGAACTGGTGTGCCGCAGCTGTTCATTAGCGAGGCTCTGTTTTTCACTCTTGGTATTTTGCTTTTTGATGCTTATACACATGGTGCTCGGGTGTGGGTACAAGTCCCTGTGCTGTCATTTCTTTCTGTGTGGGGCGAGATGACTTGTGAGCACTGGCGATGTCACGTCACACACACACACACACACACACACACACACACCCGCGCTCTCCTACTCCCCATCTCTGGCCCTCCACTTCTCAGCCTTTCCTGCTCGTGTGCAGACTGCGGCTCCGGATGGCCGCACTCACTCACCCCAGGTGGGGCCGCATCCTCCAAGGCCTGCGCCCACACCCCGCCGCTGTCCTTCCTTGGTTTTCACGAAGCAGCCTGCAGCTGTGCCGAGCTCGGCCGCGGTGTGCTTGCTTGCGGAGTGCCTCTGAGCTCCACGCGAGCAGCACTCTGGCCACTTCCTCGTGGAGCCTCCTGTTGGCTAGCCCGGCGGGCCTCTGTTGTAGAGTGAGCAACCACGGTGTGTTGTCCTTGGAAATGTGTCCTCACATCGGAAACCAGAGACCCTTAGCATGTGCTCAGGGGACCACTTTTTAATGAGTATTTGTGTACAGTCCCAGACCCTGACGTACACTTGTAAGTGTGGAGCTTTTTCTTTTTTTAGTGTAGCTGCACACTTCTGTTTTGTCATTTACTCATTATACGGCTGACAAACTTCTCCTCGCAGTGTCTTCACTATTTTATCTTGGCTTTGTAAGGAAGTATTGGAATCACTTCAAATGAGGACGACAAGCCTGGCTATCACGGTCACTTGCTAAAGGGTAGGGTGCTGTCACTTTATTCTTGTGCTACCGCTCCCACCAACCTGGTGAAGGTAACGCACTCTAAAGTGGCCACTGTCGTTCGGGTTCCCTGATTTATGAAATGTGAATCACATTGGTCAACAGAGAGTGTAGCAAAATGGTTACCAGTGCAGGTCTTCCGTATCCATAGCAAATTGTTCATCTTTCCTACCTCTAGAATGAGAGAGATGAGGAAATGGGCTTGCAGGTTGGATTTCAGAGGCATTCTGTTCAGGTCATTGTGAAGCTTAGCGCCCATACAACAATTTTCTGATGAAATTGACATTTTCTAGAATATAGAGAAAGATATTAAAATGTTAAATTTATCTTTAAAACTATGTCTTTTAAGTAGGATACAGATTATAAGCCAGTGCCACTGAAAACAGGAGAAAGCGAAGATTACATGCTGGCCTTGAAACAGGAATTACGAGAAACAATGAAAAGAAAACCTTATTTTATTGAAAAAGTTGAAGAAAAGCCAGGTGGGTCTGGGGCCGTTTGGTGAAATGGTTCGGTGTATGTAGATGACACACTGAGTACCAACTACGTGGCCATTTGATGTTGCTGATTTGATTTGGTCGGAATCTATAAATCACCTTGAAAAAAATGTATGGTTGACTTAATAGAAGAAAAAGTTTTTGGTATTTTAAGTTTAAAAATATACTCCACACACACGTGTGCAAATACATTTTACAGTAGAAGTTGTACATGTTCAGTGGAAATTATGAAAACAAACAATTTTTAGGTAAAAATTATCCATGTAGATATCTAGAGAACAACTATTAATATTTTATTGTGTGTTCTAAATTTTTTAAGTGTTTCTTTTAGGGGCTGGAGAGATGGCTCAGTGGTCTAAAGCACCTACTTAGAACAAGCTTAGCAAAGCACAGGGACTGCAGTTCAATCCCCCAGCACCACATGCCAGCCAGCCCCGCCCCCTGGTGGGCTGAGCTGGCCACACACACACACACAATAAATGTAAAAAAAAAAAGTATTTCTTTTAATAAAATTGGACTCATTTTACATCTTCTTTACTTAACACATTAGTCTTTACACATATCCTTATTATTTTTGGAAAATAACAAGTTTCAATAACCATTATTTCATTGGGTGCATATAATACTATTTGTTACTAATTCCTTATTAAATTGAATGTTGTTTCCAGTTCTTTGCTTATTTGTTTGATGCCAAGATTATGTAAGTGTATGTGTGTGTGTATAATTAATATTTAAGTGCAAAAATATAAAAACATTGGTGTGTCTTATTTATATACCTGGTAGTAGAAAATAAGAACTATGTATTTGCTGCTGATACTGAGGCTGAGGAGAATTACAGCGAGAGGAGGGGCCGCAGTTTCAGACTCGAGTGGGAAGTGGTTTTAGAGAAAATGAACCACAGAAGTAGCTACAGAGCAGCACAGTAGGGCTGCATTGATTTTCAATTTCTGGCCTTCATTGTTGAAATTAGAGAGATCAGTATTATCTCTGCATTCTCAAAGAGCGTCATTAAAACATGAGAAATTCATACAGTATCATCTTACTCCATTAGTTTGAAAAGTGCGTTCCGCTTTTCCTGTCTCTAAAGGACAAAGTTGGCTAAGGATCAAAAAAGGACTTTTATAAAATGATCTGATGTATGTTGTAAGAATCATGTTGGACAGGCTCCTTTTTCAAAGTCTCTCTGCTTGAAGTTACATAGCAATTTGATGAGAGAATTTCTTCAAAAATACTGAATTATTTTACTTTCATGATGCTGCATCCTTTTGTCTAGGTTTAAAAATGAAATTAAAGCTCTGCTTTTATAGATTTAAAAATTTTATAGATTTTATAGATTAAAAGATTTTTATAGATAAAAAATGTTATAGATTTATCAAATAAACTGATAAATACTTATTAGAAAAAATAATAGGTCAAGCTATTCTTTGGTTTTTAAAAATTAGTCTTTTCCCTAGATTATTGGACTGATTTATTTGACTGAATGTGATTATTAAAGTGCATGTGCAACTTAAAAGTGTGTCAAATCATTGAAGCATTCATGCGCGTCTTTTAGGCAGCGTCATTAAGAACATGGTGCTGTTGGTCTGTGGGGGTAGTTGGCTTGTCCCTACCCCAGAAAGGTGCCTCAGTCACTATGCAATAGAATAAAAATACGCAGTGTCATGGGGCCGCTTGCTTTTATTTCTTTAAGGATAAATTTGTATAAAATTTTCCAAATCAATAAAAAATATTGTTATTATTTTATTTATTTATTTTCTTATTTTTATTATTCTTAGCCAATTTTGTCTTTTAGAGACAGAAAAAATTTTTTGGAATCTTCATATTTCTTTCTCTTTCCTAAAGTAGTGATAATGGTTCAGAACTTCAGAAGCTTCATAGAATGAGGCAGCCACAAAGTCTGTCCAGTTCAAATGGAATTTCTTTCATTTTTGGTGCATCATCAAGGATCATGAAAAATAGTTTTAAATTTTTGATTTCTTTTCAGTGAGTTCATAAAGATGACATGCATAATTTTTATTCTTTCATAGAGGTCTTCCAATGAAAAAAAATTTACTTAAAAGAAAGTTCATTTTATCTTTGCATTAGTATATAGGACCCTTTTATAAATTTAACTGTCATGAAATTACAGTTAGTGTACTTTGGGGGACTGGCTTTCATTTAGCGTAATGTTTCCCCCGTTCACCAACCATAGACTGTGTCACTTATTCATACCTTTTATGACTACATACTAGTCCATGGTATGGACATAACACCTTTTGGCTATCTGCCCATCACTTCATGAAACCTTGCGTCAGTTTGGTTGAAACTTTTTGGGGCGATCGGAGTGACATAATGATGTTGCTTATAATGTTGCACATGTTTTGTGCAGTTGTGTGTTTTTATTTCTATTGGGCTTATATTGAGGATCATATGTTAACTCTGTGCAATATTTGACACTGTGAGGAAATAACCAAACTTTTTAAAAGTGGCTGTACCATTTTACATCCCCATCAATAATTAATTTCGTCACAGATGTGAACACTTCTTACTGTCTTTCATTCTGGCTGTCCCGGTGGGTATAAAGTAGTGTCTTTGGGGTATTGACTTGAATTTCCCTAGTGACATTAATGTTGGCCATCTTGTCATGTGCGTTTGGAGAAAAGTCTTTCCCCTTTTTGACTGACTTTTCTTTTTTGCGGTACTGGGAATTGTGCGCTTGCCAGGCAAGCGCTTATTCTACTGAACTATCTTCCCAACCCTTGATGATTTCTTAGAGTTGGTTTTATCCATAAATTAAAATACTGAAAAATATTTTCTAAATGGTCCATTGGACCCAGATGATAAATGGTAAACAGATTTTCCTGGTATGCTGAAAGTTAGAAATTTTCAAATATAGAATCTGTTTTGGAGAAAATTCTAAAGAATAATTTGAATGCATTTAGGTTGGCATTATATTTTCTTAAAAATAAGAAATTTGAGGGCCAGCATACACGTTTCACCTAAAGCCTGATGAGTACCCAGAAAACTTGGTCTATCGGTCTCTGGTCTTTTATTTTTTTTCTAACACATAGTTGTGTTATTTATTTTTATTTTTTAAAATTATATTTAGTACAAGTTCTACAGGGTCTCACTGCACAGCTCGGACTCATAGTGATGCTCTTGATTTCAGCCTCCCAAGCCTGGGATTACAGGCATGCGCCACTACGCCTGGTCTCAATTGCTGTCTCCTTGCCCTGGGGGCAGGGCTGGCACAGTATGCTGGGGATCGAACCGGCCACTGCGCTCTGCCTAAGCAGGCATAGTTGTTTTATTTGGAAGCATTTTTCTGACAGAAAACTCCCCTCAGTTGTGTGGTTTTTTTTGTTTTGTTTTTGTTTTTGTGGAACCAGGGATTGAACTCAGGCCCTGCACTTGCCAGGGAAGCACTTATTCTACTGAGCCATCTCCCCAGCCCCTCCCCTCAGTTTTTGATTAGGTATTTTGTTCCCTTCTCTTGCTGCTGCTCAGTTTCCAAACCGCTCTTCACCATGAGCCATGGTTGCAGGCTGTGTGTGACAGGGCTGCTGGGCAACGCCTGCTCCGTGGGGCAGGCGGGGTCTCCCCAGGGTCCCTGCTGCAGGGTGTGCTGAGCAGCAGCCGAGGCACAGGTGTGGCTCCACTGGCAGATGCAGGCTCTGCGGTTCTTGGTGGTTGGTTGGGAAGGCTTGCCACGTGCTCCTTCAAACCGAACCCTAGATCCAGCCTTGCCCAGTGGGGTGCAAAGTTGGTTGGTGGAGAAGCCTAGCAGAATGACTACGTGTGAATCTAGGGCCGGAGGTGCACAGACAGTGTCTTAGCGCACCCCTGGCAGGGCAGGCTTGGGGAGCTGGTGGTCACCGTCATATGCATAAAAAAGTGCTGCGTCTATCTCCCGCTCTCCCGTGCAGGTAGCTTCGCCATCAGGCTTGTTGGTAGTCTCACCTGTAAGGCAGATTGTCAGATTGGAAGAATCGTGGCAAATAAGCTTGTCCCCTGGCCCTCCACGGCCCATCGTACCCAGCCTGTCACCACGTGTTATTCTCATTGAGCTTGTCAGGAGGTAGTCAGGACCATGTTAGGTACAAGCATAGGAATGTCCTGCGTGTGAAATGACAGCTGTTATGTGCTGTTCGCAATTATTTTGAAGAGTAGCTTGTCTAGTGTATTCTTCATGTTTCTAATGAATTCTTTTTGTTGTTTTTCCCCCAGATATTGAAAGGTATAGTAAAAAATACATACAAGTATACAAAGAAGAGTGGATACCAGGTATGACAAAACAGGTAGTGTTAAATACTTCTGAAAGATTGTCTCCTTGTCCCATGTTTTTTTAGGATAAGCTTTTATTCTTACCATAGGAAAAAAAATCTGATACTTTTCTTGTAATTAACAAATAAATATAAATCTTGAGATTTTTATAATGAAAACAAAAAAGAACATGTTGGTAGAGGATTTTAAAGTATAGTAGTCCCTCACTGTTTTGTGGTTCAACTTTTGCGGGCTATTTCACGGGTTTTTGAAAAATATTCATCTAAATTATTTATCATGGATTTTTCACTACATCGCGGGATTTTGCAGTACCGTACAATACACATATGTTGTTAAAATTACATAGCTTTAGGAGTATAGAAAATGGTTAAGAATATTAGAAGTGTTTTTAAAAGTATGGGAGGGCTGGAGAGATGGCTCAGTGGTCTAAAGCACCTACTTAGAACAAGCTTAGCAAAAGCATCAGGGACCACGGTTCAATCCCCCAGCACCACATGCCAGCCAGCCCTGCCCCCTGGTGGGCTGAGCTGGTCTCTCTCTCTCTCTCTCTCTCTCTCTCTCTCTCTCTCTCTCTCTCTCTCAAATAAATAAAAATTTAAAAGTATGGGAAAGCTTTATAAGAGTGTGGGGAGGGTTTATAAAGCTGTAAAACATATATAAATGCTAAAATAAATGTAACGTCACTACTTCGCTGATGTCACCTGTCGTGGGGTGTGTGAAACATACCCTCTGCCATGTGGGACCGCTGTACTGTTTTTACAAAAATAGGACTTGCTGTAGCTTCTGGCTTTGTAATTTCATTAGCTACAATCATAGTCTGAATCTTAACAGCAAAGAGCAGTTTTCCTCTTTGCTAAGCGATCTTGAAGCTTTTGAAGAGAAAGCTGCGGTCTAGTTGGAAGCTTACTTTGAGTGAAGCCTGCAGATTCCTTTTCTTTCAAGCAGACATACACTAGCTTTCAAGCTCTGTTCTTAGCATTCAGACTTTTCACCATAGGCCTGGAGGGGGCGGAAGGTCCTGTGGAGGGGATCTGTCACTGGGCAGATCAAAAGCAGCCCCCCAGTGCTGAGGGCCCCTGCCAGGACTGCCAGTCCCCGGGTCTTCTGATTCAGATTCCCATCGCCTGTGTGCTTCTCTCCTTGGGCGTCCGGGACCCTGCCCCCTGGAAACACGTTGGGACACGAGCAGCATCCCCGCTTCCACAGCTTACAGGGCTGTCTTCACTGGTGGGCGCAGATACCACAGGACCCATGGAACACTCCTAGGTCCCTCACATTCTCCTCTTGGTCATTAATAGTCACCGACCAATTGAGTCTGTTTATATATTTATGATTTTCTGTAATAACTTATCAAGCTAACTATTCAAAGCAAAACTTATTTGTTCAACTAAAATGACTATTTGCAAATGTACTAGAATTTCTCTGTTAAAGCCTGTGGGGTGTTTTTGTTTTTTTGTGGTACCGGGGATTGAACTCAGGACCTTGCACTTGTCAGGCAAGAGCTTATTCTCCTGAGCTATCTCCCCAGCCCTAAAGTCTGTGTTATATTGATTCAATTTTCTTTCTGTATGCTTAAGTGTAGGGGCTGGAAATGTGTAGGATATGATCAAAATATATGGAAAATGTTTACATAAGTAACTGATTACAGTGAAAGGAATATTGCCATTAATCCCCTTCAGAATACTCCCCTTGTTTCAAACACCCCCCGTCTCATTATCCCTGCCACTTTCCAACACAGATCTGGAAGTCCTCTTTCATACCTTCATAAAGTTAAAAAACATACTGAGGGGCTCAGGATATAATTTGGCAGTCTAAATGCCTGCCTGGCAAGCACAAGGACCTGGGTTCAATCCCTGGTACCACATGCTATGCTGGCCCCAAAACCCCAAGCACGCTGAGCCAGCCACTGAAATCGGGCATGGTGGCACATGCGTGTAATCCCAGTGCTGTGGAGGCTGAGACTGGAGAATCACTGTGTCAGAGTCTGAGCTGTGTAGCGAGACCCTGTACCAAGTATATAATACATGCATACATATAAGATTTTTAAAAATCAACTATAGAAAGTACAGTGAGTGTGCTGCCAAGTGCCATCTAAAAGAACAGGCAGGCTTGTCCAGACATGAGCAAGAGTCCTCAGCCACCCCACGCAGGGCATCTGGCTGGCATGGGCCACTTGGGGCTCTTCCTGAAGGTCAAGGTGGCCATGAGAGGTGAGAGTTACCAGTTCAGGACGTGAGGGCAGCCATGCCAGGACAACTAAGAATACTTGCGGAAGAGAACTTCCAAGAAGTGGCAAGAGTGAGGGGCTAAGCAGAATTGCAGCAAGGGGAGGGCTCTTCATGGCAAGGTGTCTTAAACGCTCACCATAGGTTGTGATCACCCTGCTTAGCTCAGTCGTGGAATGCTTGCCTGACATGCGTGAGGCCCTGGGCACTCAGGCACCCTCAGCTGCCTACAAAAAACTAGAGTAAAAAATTACAGGAATCAGTTTTAACTAATGCAGGTAAAAATCATTTCTTGAGGGAGGAATTTATTTTTCCAGAGCCACTGATAGTTTTAATTTTGAGGTTTTCGGATAATTATCACAAGTTTTTGTATATTTCAGATGTGTTTGTAGTCACATGATTTTAACTTTTGAGAAAAATGCTGTTATATAAGAAATGTATATCAACTATAGAAAACTTACAAAGCAATCAAATAAAAAGGTAGTTTTATAAGTAGTTATATCAGGTTCTACTGATTGCTAAGGGAAACTGAAAGTTTTTATATTTCTTCTTTTGTATGTGTAGATTGGAGAAGATTTCCAAGAGAGGTGATGCCGAGGAAGAAGTGTAGAAAAGGTACGTTAGCTAAGATCCGCAGTAGTTCCAGAAGGGAAAGGGATTGCTGAAATTCATGGGTGTGGTTACGGGGATTGAACCCAAGGCTTCACATGTGTAAGCAAGCGCCAGTTGCATCTCTGGCCTTTTTAAGGAGTTATTTTGAAACAGCATCTCACTAAAACACCCAGGGAGCCTTGAATTTATGGTCCTCCTGCTTCAGTCTCCTGGCTAGGTAGGTGCACGACTACACCCAGCTTGGATTCTATTCATGTAAGTTGTCCATATGAAGTTACTACCAATTTTTTCTTGAAATCTGCTTGATATTTTAATTATTTTGTGAGAGTTCAGTGGATTTTTTTGCTGTTGGGATTTTTGGATTTTTTTTTTTTTTAATGTATTTGGCACAGGGTCTCACTATGCAGCTTGGACTCACAGAGCTCCTCCGGTTTTCAGCCTCCCCAGCACTGGGATCACAGGCGTGCACCACCACACCTGGTCTTGCTGGCTGGCTCAGCGCACCTGGGAGCAGAGCCAGCACGGAATGTGGCCTCAGGGATCAAACACTCCCTGTGCTACCCTGAACTATCTCACCCGCCCTTGGGGTTGTTTCTTATAATTTGTTTATTTTATTTTATTTTATTTTATTTATTT